CAACGGCAGAACAAGAACAATGTTGGCAGGAGCCTGTGGCTGCCTCCGGGCCCTGTGTCCAGCCTGTCCCCAGCACAGCGGTGCCGGTGGCCCTGGGCTGGGACAACCCCGTCTTCATCATCTCCTCGTCTTCATCATCTCTGCAACAATGGCTTTTCAATCTCACTCCCCTTCCATATGAGGCATAATCTAGCAGCTCCTCTCTCCTCCTCCTCCTGTGCCATAATTAGCACTTTTTGGCTTGAGTCATGTCCTTTAATCATATCTGGACGGCAGTCACTCCTGCCAAGGTGAGTAATTCCCTGAGCAGAGATAAACCCCGCCGTGTTCCTTGTGCCTTTGCCAGGCGGAGCGCTCGGAGGGATGCGGTGCTCAGGGCAGGGACCTGCTGCAGCCTCAGCCCTCGGGCACCGCCAGGGAGAAGGTGATGGCAGTTATTTTCTGTGCCCTCCTGTCCCTTAACAAGGGGGAAACACAAAGCAAATTGGTTGTTATTAATAAATTGCTGTGGGACCCGTGGCCAAGCCGTGCAGGAGAGGAGAGCCCGACCAGCAGACAAGGGCTGGTCTGTAGAGGTGTTGTCACTGGGAGTAGGTGCCCATCACAGCCATGCTGCCAGGGCTGTGGGGCAAAATTCCAGCAGAGGGAGAAAGCTGAGGATAAAAATGAGCAATCCTGGCAGACACACTTGGGGCTGGAGCAGTCGGTGCCTGAGATGGACCTTCAGGGTGGTAAGAGCAGCCGGGGATCCCGAGGTGGGGCTGGAGACCTCCCGGGCACTTAAGGAAAGTTGACCATGAAAGGTTTTATAGCTTATGAGGAGCTCATAAGGCAGCCAGGACCTGGATAATGGGGGATTTTAATTACTTGGATATTGATGGACATAATAACTGTGCAGCAAACCACAAAGGGAAACCTGTGGCTGGAGGGGAGAGCGAGATTGATCTATGCACAGCATGTTAAATAACCTAAATCGTTCGGAGCCTCTTCTGGCCCCGGTTCCAGGAGCAGAGCCAAGTATGATAAATAAGTTCGGGGTTGGGAAGTGTCTGGAATACAAATGTTTGTGTTCTTGTTCGATTTCAAATATTCTCGGGGACAGAAGCGGTGGCAGGAGTGGCAGCACGGCGCTGGGCTGTGTCTGCCCGGGGGCTGCGAGACGCCGGGAAAGCGGCTGCCGGGGCCCAGAGGCATCTCAGGAACTTTTGCACAGATTTTTGGCGGTGGAAGGTGACCTGGGAGAGACATGGGCAAAGCAAGGAGGGACCCAGAGGCCAAAGCAATCGAGGAGAAGGACGGAAAGTCTGAGCAAGCAGCGTGGGTGGGATGGCGGCCGCGGGGCTGGGCACGGCACAGGGAGCGGAGGGGAGCCCCGAGGGCAGGGCTGGCCACCACCCCACGGGCACGTCCCGGGGCCAGCCCGGCTTCTTGCCAGGCTTGGTGGCATCAAAGGTGTGCCCAGGAGAGGTCTCCTCCTGCCACCTCAGGTGCTTTCTCCATCACACAGGTCCAACCCCGGGCATCCCAGGAGGAAATCTATGCTTAATAAATGGGGGTGACAGGGTGTTGAGAAGAAGGTGGGCACCCCAGGACAGGGCTGGGAGTGTCGTGCCGGGGCTGCCGGGCGGCTCCCGCGCTGCAGCTTCGCAATGGAAATGTGTGCCTCAGCACGCAGGGGCAGCGCCTCTGTTTGCCGTGATAAGGCAGTTTTCTGTGTGGGTGTCACTAATTTGGGTCGGTGGCTGCTCTCCTGCTTGTGGCCAAGGGCTGAGACATCCTCCTGGTTTGGCATCAGCTCCCGGGCTCGGTCTGTCCCGGCTGGGTCCGTCCCAGTGGATGCTGCCGGGTTTGGGGAGGTGGTGCAAACTCCCCTTCTCGTTTTTGGGGAGCCTGGGCAGATTGTGCCATCCCAACAATGCTGCTATGGTCCCCAGCTGCAGAGAAACGCCTCCAGGGCCTGAGGTCTGGGGGGAGCAGCTCTGAAAGGGGGGGGGGTTGGCTCTTTTGCTGTTTTCCTCTTGCTGAAAAAAACATTCCCTTTATTTAAGCACTGCAGAAATGCTGCAGAACCCTGTCCGTCCCATTGCAGGGTGTCTCGGGGGTCCTGCGGGCTCAGGTTGTCCCAGGGTGGGTCTGGGCTGTGTCACAGCTCTTTTTCCCAAATTTCCTTTGCTCTTCCTGTTGCTGTGGGTGGCAGAAAGGCAGTGCCCCCCCACGAGGGCTGGGGAAAGGCTGTGGGCTGGAAACAAGGCGCAGTGGACCAGAGCAGCAGAGACCGAGCACTGCTGCTACACTGATGGCTCCGTAAGGGTGATGGAGAGCTGTGGCTGGTCCCACTCATCCCGGGCTCCCCCAGTGTCCTTCAGAGCAGAGCGGGGCCTCGGGTCACAGACCCATGGCTCTGTGCCCATCACCCCATCACAGGGCTGTTCCTTTGCGGCGTGAAAAACCAACGCCGAGCACCCCGCTATTCTTGAGCGTATTGTATCATTTTTAGGCACGAGCGTAAATAATTTAAATGCAACGTGCTCACAGTCGTAATGCACCTGAGGCCTCAGATGTCTGCGTCGTGTGATCAATATGAGACAGCAGTGGTTTGGAAACAGCGAGAAATCAAAGCTCCCGTGCAGCAGCCGTCCCAGGCTGCCAGCAGCGCAGGAAGGGTCTGTGCCTCCCTGTCTGGGTGCTGTGAGCGCGGCAGGATCCTCCCTCAGCCCACGGGAAAGGGACTGAGCCTGATCCACGCGGGTGCTGTCGCTGGATGCGACGCTCACACAGCCTGTGCTGAACTGAACCCCAACCTGCTGAGCCCTGGCTATGTAGTTTGCTGACCCGGGAACGCCGTGGTCTGACTGTTTCTGTGCAGTTCTTAGGCACCTTCCTCATCCCCCCAAAGTGATGTGCTGAACTGAGGGTGCAGAGCCATCCCTTGGCTCCCCAGAGCCCTCCGGCATCTCTCCTCTGGCTTCCCAGCTCCCCTTTTTTTCTCCAAGGCAGCAGGAATCCCCCCCAGTCGGAGCGTGGCTGCGATTCTGCTGCTCCAGTGCAGGGCAGGGCTCGGGGGCTTCGCCCAGATTTGCAGCAGGAACAAAATCCCCCCCACCCCAGGGACCCTTTGCCCCTTCCCAGCACCAGTGAGGGGTCGGGCACATCACAACGTGGAGCCCACACGTTCCCCCCCAGTGCCTGCCCACACCAGCTCCCTGCCCGTCCCGGCTGGGGTTTGCATTTGGCCAGACTGAGATATTTTTTTCTCCCACCTCTAAATTTGCTGTTTTCCTGAAATGGTCTGAAATGTAATAGAGCAAGACAATCATCAGAATGAAATATTTCCTACATAAAATATGCAGCAGCTCTTCAGAAACGAAGATGGAGTAGAATGAGGGCTGCCAGGCAAGATTTAAAGGTGCTGACACGTTCCCATAGGTTGTTTACTGAAGATCTCTCTCCTAAGCCCCAGTTCTAAGGCTGCCTTTCAAAAGAGGGCACAAAATAAAATTCAGCAAGGAGCTTTAATAATTCAAGCCACCGTGTGCCGAGCTTTTTGTTGCCCTTATGGGAACGAAGCCTCATTTCAAAGGACCTTGACTCTCTTCTGATAGTGCAGAAGTGGCACTGCCAGAGCTATTTTTGCAGCAAGACACTGATTGGGTGCGAAGCCTGTCTCGGGTGGCCGTGCCAGCAGAACCCGGGCAGGCAAAACACAGAGCCATATGGCCTGATTTCCCTGAAGATGCCAAGTCCAAGGAATTTGGGGGTGCGCTCTCGCTGTAGAAGGCATTTTGTCTGAGGCATTTTTCCCTTGCTGGCCAAGGAGACCGTGTCCCCCTGCAGGTATTGCTCTCTGGGACTTGAGAAAGTGAATCCCCTGTGTGCCCAAATGTTGCAGTTTCACCCCTGTAACATCCTGAGCCCTTAATAAATGGGGACCTGCAATGAAGCTGGCAATGGAGAGTAAAACCTTATGCCCTAATGCAGCATCTCTGAGCCAACAGCATCCTCCTCAACACGCCCTGCTCACCTCCCACGGCCACTTTCCCTCTCGGCTGGGTCTGAGTGACTTCGGATCATCCCCACGGCAGAGGAGCTGCTCTTTGTCAGTGGATTTCCCCCGTGAGTAACTGAGGTCCCTCTGCAGACACAGCTGTGTACAATCTCTGCCAGTTACTCAAACCGGGAGCAGGCATTTCAGCAGAAAAACTGTCTTCTACAGAAACAAGTAACAGGGAAACGTTGGGATACCGGGAATCGTGCCTTTAGACCCGGCTGCTTCCCGTTCCCAGCACTGGGATCAGCATCAGGCTGAAAGGTTTGCGGAGAATCCCCGATTTGGGACTCTCCTGGTGGTTTGGGACCCACAGGGACACAAGAGACGTGTCGTGTCTGGGTGATGACAAGGCTGGGGAGGGGGGAGCCGTGCCTGCCTGCCAAAGGCTGCGGGTCGCAGGGAAGCCCCCAAAGGCTGCACCCCGCACCCCCCCGCACCCACCGCAGCCCTCCCAGACCTACACCGGCAGTTTGTGCCATCTCTGTGTGTCCCCCCCCGGTTCCTCCGCCGCGGGGACACCGGCGGCGCCGCATCCAGACGCGGGTTCTGCCGCCACCTCGCGGTGGAGACGCGCCGGGTGTCGCCGTGGGGCCGGGGACGCGGCTTCGCGACGGACACAGGGCCCGGCAGCTCGGCGGGGTGTGGGGATGGCGGCTTTATTAGTCCCTGTAACCCTGCCGTGATTTGGGCCCAAACCGGGACAAAGCCCAGCCGTGCCGGCAGCCCCGACCCTGGGGAGCAGGAGACAGCAGGGAGGGCTTGGATGGACGTGGCTCTTCCCAGGAGGATGCTGTGCCCATCCCGGTACCGGGGAAGGATGCTGTGGTCCCTACCTGTCCTTTGGGGTCTATCAGCAGCAGCTCTCTCCTCCCTCAACAACCCAGACCCCTTTTCCCAGGTGTGCGCGGGCGGGATGGGGGCTGCTGAGAGGAGGTTTTGGGTGAAGTGCCCCAGGTGTGCGCGAGCGGGACGGGGGCTGCTGAGAGGAGGTTTTGGGTGAAGGTCGCTGTGGTCAGATTTTTGGCTTGTGTGCCCCAAGTCCACACCGGAGCAGCCTGGCCGCCTGCTTCGAGCAGTGTCTCAGGGCAAGTCAGGCACTTATCATCCCTTCCCTGGTGGTGTCCCTGACGCTCTTCAGGAAGGTGAAGATGTGGGACCCGCCGGTGCCTTTGGTCTCCAGCGCAGTCGGGGGCTTCCCCGCGGAGGGACCGGCCCCGTGGCTCGGCTCTGCCCGCCCGGCCTTGGCTTTGGCTGCCGCGACGCTGATGTACTTGGTGACGATGGTGATGTGGTAGGACCTGAGTTCTGCCAGCGCAGACACGCACTGGTTGAAGGCCGCACGGAGCCGCGCGTCGCCCGAGGAGAGAAGGTGCTGCTTGAGGGAGGGGGCACGGCCGATCTCCTCCACAAAGGCTCTGTGGGGTGGGGGCATGTAGTCCCTCATCCTGTGCAGGAAGGCGGCTGCAAGACACCAGCAAAGGAAGAAATAAGTTGGGGGGGAGTGGGTTAAAGCAGCCTAAAGCTCTCAGAGACAGAGCACTGGTCAGCAGGGACCATGGCGCTGGGTGGTACCATCAGCCTGAGCAGCCTCCTGCCTCCCCTCTGCTGTCTCCTGCCTCTGATTAATTGGGAGAGAAAACCCATATTAGGGCAATGCTCTGAAAGGGTTGGTCTTAACCCTAAAAGGCAGGTTTTAGCCCTTGCTCTCAGTCTTTTGGTTTCAGCTGTTTGGGTTTTGGTTGGGTTTTTTTTGCTAATTTCTGATAAATGCACGCTGTTGTGGGCCAGCCTGAGGTGAAGCTGTGGGAGGGGGTGAGCCAAGTCACTGGCAGGACGCTGGGGCACTCTGGTCCCATCTATAACCTCAGTAAAAAGTTGACATGCAAAAAGCAAAGTCTGTTCTTCTGGGAATTTATAGTGCTGAGGAAGTGCCTGCCAGAGCCTCGTTTATGGACTTCCTCCCTAACGAACTGGGCAGAGCCTCCTCCCGGCCGGGCTCCAGGAGGGCTCTGTGAGGGGCAGACGGGCACGTGTCCCATGGACGGGATCCGTGGGGATCACTCTGGCTCAATTCTTCCCTCGCCCCTCATTTGCTTGGGAAAAAGGAAAAGCGTGTGACGTACTGCTGTCCTTGCTGTGCCGAATGCCCAGGAGCTCGTCGAACGCGTGGAGGACGGTGCTCTGCGCCGCGCTCCCTCCCGAGAACGCCATGGGCTCCTCGGAGACCCCCTCGTACACCAGCCCCTGCGGCATGGCCGGGTTGTCCTTCCAGCTGGGGGGAGAGACACAGCGGTCAGGGGGTGGTTGGTAGCAGGGGGGCTGTGAGGAGGGACCCTCTGGGCTGGCAACACTGAGTGAGACCTTCCTGACCCGGCCCATGGATCTCCTCCTCGCTCAGCCCTGTCAGCTGCCCTCAAATGAGAGATAAAACTTGGAAATCAAACATTGCATTGAGGTGCAGGACAAGGGTGGAGGGAGAAATCCTGAATTCTCCTTTGCCAACGAGCTGGGGGGGTTCTGTGGGATTGGGGGAGCTCCCCACGGCACCTCCATCCCCAGCTGGGTCCTGGCTCGTGGTGGTTTGCACCCACAGCTTCGGGTGTGAGAGAGGGGATGGGTCCCTTGTCTGGGAAAAGCAATACAGCAGCATCTAATGTACTAATTCCTTGAAATCCTGGTGGCCATTAGGAGAAATCAGGTTGCCTCCATGGCAGATAGAGTTGCCCAAACGCTTTCCTGACCCCTTGCATTTTACACTTTGGATTTTTGTCTGGTCTTGCTACTCTTGACATGACGCCTGCGAAGCCGGCGCAGGACAGCCTGCCTGTGCTTATCTCAGCAGAGAACCAGCCCGTAATGTGATTTCCTCCCTCTCATGAAGCTGCTCGTCCCCAGCGCGCCCAGGAACGCGGCGGTGCCTCCCCCCGCCACGCACCATTAACTCCCAGCCCCTCTCATCCGGCTTCACCCGCCTGTTGGGCAAAAATGGATAAATGCTCGCTCACAAACGGAAAGAGGACTTGTAATTTCAGAGAGATAATGTGCCTGGCACAAAAATATCTCTTGACCTTCTGAAGAATGCCCCATTTCATGAAGGTTTCGGTGCTGGCTGCTGGGGCCGTTTTACTGCTTTTGCACAAAATGCAGAGAAAATAGATTCATTATCAAATACCGTAATATTTTTAGCTCTCCCAGGGATGTATTTATAGTAACCTTTACTAGTGGGAAGTTGTTATAAGCAGAAGGGAATTTAAAAGGCATGTTTTTCCAGGCTGATGACCATCAAGACGAGGTCAGCTTGGATAAAAATGAGCAAAACCTAATCAGGATGCGCGGAGCCTTTTGAGTGAGGAATGCTGAGATCTGCTGGAGAGAAACAAAAATAGAACCCCCCTGAGAAGCCGGGAGTGGGGCGGCTGGGGATGCTCCAGCCCCACGGGAAAGCTGAGGGATGGCAAACCCGCAGCGCAGGGCTCCCGGGGCCGTGTTTCTGCCTCATCCAACTCACTTCTTTCAGTATTTGGGGTTTTTTTTAAATTTTTTAATTAATTAATTAATTTTTTTAAATTTTTTTTAATTAATGGAATTGTAATGGAGTAACAGCAAGAGGCTTGTTACAGGTGCAGGATGAAGAGACCCCACTCAGCTTTGTAGCTTTGTGTGTACCGTGTCCGAAATATAGAGAAATTAGTCTTCTGTTGTCAAAACTGCTCTAGGCAGCAGAAAGGATTTGGAGGAATGGCCTTGGGGTCACCGCTGCTGGACACAGCACCAGAACCTTCCCCACCCCGGGGACCCCGTGCCCCATCTGAGCTGCCCCTTCCCCGGCTCCCCCCGGCCCCGGGACCTGCCCCCAGGGTGGCTTTGGAGGGGACTTACCCGGAGAGAAAGATCCGGATCACGGCGTAAAATACTGCTGGATCCACGTAATCTGGGAGGAAATCACATCATGGATGTTACTGCAGGAAAAGTTATTTCCCTTTGCATCAGCATTTCCCACAGGGCAGTGTCCCCCCACCCAGAGAGGGGCTGGGCGCTGCACGGTGCTGGTGCCCCCTCCCCGTGCTGGGCTCCCCCCGGGTGAGCAGCACAGCATCAGTGCCTGGAGCTGCTCAGCCCCAAAACACCCCGCTTTCACCCCGTTTGGGTGCTCAAATCCCACGCATCATCCCGGGAGCACTGAGTTTCCCCAAAATTGCTCTGGCTTCCTCCTGCTCCATCACTCTGGAGGGGCTCTATGGGCTGAGTGTGAGCACGTTTGCACTAACACGTCTGGTGAGGGAAAACGTGTGCAGGGAGTGGGGTGGGGAGCCGCCCCTGCCGTTACCGTGCATCCGCCTCAGAGCCGTGCTCATGTCCCCGATGGCCTCCGCCAGCTCCCGCAGGGCTTGGAGCAGGGTCTCCTCGTCCTGCTGCAGGATGGCACCAACGGCCTTAATGACGGCCTGCGAGGGGAGAGGAGGGGGAGACGAGGGGGTGAGGGGGCTGGGATGTCTGTGTACAGCGGCTCTGGATGCCCCCTGCCACCCGGGTCAGCTCTGCCCCTTCCCCTGGCCTTGGAGATGGGGGCACCTTGTGGGTACCCGTGCAGGGGATGGTGGCACTTCAGGGTACCCATGCAGGGGATGGGGACACCTCATGGGTACGTGCCTGTGGGCACTTGCCAGGCGAGCAAAGAGCTTTGGGACACAGCAGGAGGGAGGGCACACACTCCTCGACCGGCTCCCTCCGTGGTGCCCTACCTTAATGCCAGGCACAGCCGCCTTCTCCACCAGGAAGGTGATGAGGATGAAGCCACGCAGGCTCTCTCCCCCGGGCAGCGAGATGATGGTGTCCAGGTTCCTGCAGGAATGACCCATGGAGCACAAGGGGGTTAGGAGGGCTCTTGGTCGGGGTCTCCCCACACACCCTGGGACACTCTGAGCCCTTGGAGCAAAACCCTCCCGGCTGCAAACCCTCTTATCTGCACCCCGGGCACAGAGCAAAAGGGGACGGGGGTTGCTCGGTTTTAGGGGATCTGTGACCCTCCCACTGGGCTACAAGTCTGGCCCGTGGTGGCCAGGCTCTGCATGGGCTCGGGCAGCCCCTGCTCCAGCCGCAGTCACGGCGCTTTGCTGCTGTTGCAGTGGCATTTTTGTGCCAAAGACTGAGCTGTTTTTGTTGTGCTCGTTTATCAGGAGACAGGTTCAACCCGAGCAGAGCCCCGCTGTGTCGGAGCGCTAAGCCAATTCAAACAAAACTAATACTGTTAGAAAATAAATAAGTATCTTAAATACTTACTCGATTTCCAGAGGCCTGAAGGCATTTTGGTTATTGCCAACAAATGCACAAGGAAAGGAGAGAGAAAGAGATGTTATAAATCCTTACAGTAACAGACTGTGCCCCAGGGGAGACAAACGAGTCGCTGCCCCATGGGAAGCGCCATCCCCTGGGGGGGACAGTCCCAGAGGCATCCAGCTCCCCACTGAGCACCCACAGCTGCAGCACCCACAGCCCCAGAGACCACCGCTCCCCCTGCAAGACCCTGCCCTGGACCTTCTCCATCAGACCACGCTCGATCTGCCAGCATTTGCCCGTTTACCCGTTGGGATTCTTCCTCCTCCAGTTGGCCAACACAAAGTCCGCGTGGCTGAGGATGGGGGGGAGCCCGAGGGTCTGTGAGACCTCCCAGAAGGGGATGGCGAGGTTTCGGGGAAGGACCTGCAGGGCACAAAGCAGAGGAGAAGACAGGGACACTGTCAGGCTGGTGAGAGGTGCCCAGGCCAGGCAGGAGGGGGTCACGCTCCTGCTGCAGCCCCAGGAAGGGATGAGTCCCAGGGGAGCAGCATCACCCTGGATCCCAAGGAGCAGGTGAACCTGCTCCCAGTTGCTTTTACCTTCACGGTGCCCTCCTCGCCCTCCTGCCAGATGTAGCCCATGGTGATGAAGCTGAGCACCAGATGTGCCAAGTGCAGCTCCTCGCGCCCGCGGAGGTGCCCGGTGCTCAGCTGCGGCATCTGCCAGAGACACCCTTGGGGGCACCGCAGGCCAAGGGCCCCCCACCAGCTGGGAGGAGACCCTTGCCCTCTCCCCAAAAACCTCCCTTCCCTCCCACCCCTGCAGGATTTGTTAATGATTTGTTGGTTTTTGAGCATTGACAGTAACTGCAGGATTTTACTCAAAAAGGTGTCCCTCCCCCAGGCCAGGGGGGGCTCCTGACGTGCCCGAGCTCCTCGGTGAGGAGTGTGACCAGCCGAGCTGTGGCTCTCGTGACATCTAGAGGGTTTCTCCTGCCACCTCACGCCAGGCTCAGCCCTCACTGGGCTGCCCGTGCACCGGGACCGGCCGTGGCAGCTATTTCTGTGCCAACGTTAAGGCTTTGGTTTTTCAGGAAACTCGTCCCCACCGAGGACACGGCTCTGCTGTTGGCTCCGCGCTCAGCAGACACCACTGTGTCCCACCGAGGTCAGAGCACCCAGAGCCAGGGGACACAACACGGTACCTGGTGAACCCGCGAGCGGAGCCGACGGTCGGCGATGAGCTGGGGCAGGTCGTGGGCGATCTCCATCCAGGGCCCGTAGGGCGCCGGCAGCTCTGTCTGGGGGGAGAGAGGCCGGAGGGAGGGCTGTAACGCATGGGGCAGCGCACGGGGTCCCCAGCCTGTGTCTCGTCTCTCCCCGGGTTCCTGAGCAGCTCGGGGTGCAATGGGACACCCAAAGTGGTCCTGCACTGACGGAGCTCTGAGACCAGCATGGCTCTCGGGGTGTCACACGGAGCCCACCCATCCCGGGTGGGAAGGGTCACCCCGTGCTGGGGTACGGGGGGTGCTGGGATGGGAGCAGGGGGGGACAGAGGGCTCGGGGATAAGCCCAGCCCCGGGTAAGCTCTTGAGAGTCAGGGCTGGTGGAAAGACAAAGTCCAAACTCTCCTGCTCTGGTCCCTGCTCTGGCTGCAACGCAGAGGAGCGGTAGGGTCCGGGGAGAGAGGGGAATGGGGGGGTGATGGCAGCCGGGGGACACACAGGAGGGTTGGAGTGGGGCTGTGACTCCCCCCTGGAGCCCGGCAGTCCCAGGGGGGGGCCGTGCTGGACATTGCCTGGACGGGGGGGGGCTCACTGTCCTGCTCCATCCCATTTGCAAAGATTTTCCTGGGGCTCTGGTGGGGCTGAGCTCTCGTCTGCCGGGAAGGGGGGGGGCTCCCCCTCTTCAGGGTCCCCCCTCTTGTAATACCAGCCTGGGTGATGGCGGATTAATGGGTGATAAACAAGGATCTGCCTGTCCCGGAGCTGCCACCGCGCCGTGAGCCCGGTGACAAATGGCACTGCCTTGGTCAGGGGAGACCTGGGGTCTCACCGCTCTCCTCCTGCTCCCCAAATCCCACATCGCCGAGGTGTGAGCTGCAGAGCCCCGTCTCCTCTGCCCCGGGCCTCTCGCTGCAGCCAGTTTAACCATTATTAAAGCCAGGGGTTTGTCCTACGAAACCAAGCCAAAATAGCATGTGCCTTCCTCATGGCTTTTCATGAGCTGTTCTAGAGCAGTGTTAAATGGAAACCCAACCAGAAAGCTGCTCACCAACCCCTCTATTTTTCTGTTCCCGGTCTCTTGTGGGGCGCAGCCGCGGTGGCACAGCCGTCTCCTACCAGAGGGTCGGGAAGAAGGAAGCCGAACTCCTCGGAGAGCTGGAACCTGCTCAGCGCCAGAGGCAGCGGGGTCTCCTCCGGGCCCTCGCCGGGCTCCATCTCCAGGCGCTGCCCGTGGGGTCGGGACATGGCTCTGGCTCGGCAGAGACACGCTGCAGCCCCGCTCCCGGTATGTGCTGAGCCAGCACCGTGCGCCCCGGCCCCCGCCACGGACCTTGTCCCGAGGGGGGGTACAGGGTCCGGCCGCCCAATGGCCGCAGGGTCCGAGCAAACACGGGTAAAGGTTGCCGATAAGGCGCTGTCATGGAGCAAACACTGATCTCCCTCCCCGTGGGCATCCACCAGGGGAAGGCTGAGGGAAGGTCCCTCACTCTGGGAGGGGGCTGTGAGCTGTCACCCCCCTGGGACATCCCCTGGGAGCTGCAGGGATGCTCCGGGCTCCCCGGGGAAGTTGCATGGAAGTTGTCCAGGGATGCTGGGTTTCATGGTGACAGCGATGCGGTGCCGGTGCTGCCCTGAGCTGCTGCCTGGGGGTCAGTGGGGACCGGGAGCCCTGAGGTGGGGGCACAACCGGGCAGCTCTCTCTCCTGGAAAGGCTGGAGGGGCTGTGTTTCCCGGGGTGAGCCGGAGCTGGGCAGGGCACCCCCAGCCCATCCAAGTGTGGACCACACGTGGCTCCATCCAATGCCTTTATTAGTGCTCGTCGCGCTGCCCCGTCCCTGGCTCCGTGTCCGGCTCCGTGTCCAAGTCCAAGTCCAAGTCCAAGTGTGAGTCCAGGTCCAGGTCCAAGTGTGAGTCTGAGTCCGAGTCCGAGTCCTGGCCATCGCTGCCCTCCTCGGCCGTGGGGCTGCACAGAGACCCAGAGCGGTGCCTCAGCCCGTGTCCCCCGTGCCCGACAGCCCTGCTCCCCCAGCCCCGGCTCCCACCCGTCTTCCTCCTCCGTGTTCCTGCTCTCCCTGTTTACTGGGACCTGCAGCTTCTCCCAAATCCCACTTTTCCCCTTAGAGTTCATTTTTCCCAGGAATTAGCAAAGAAAAAGCCTATTTCCTCCAGCTCTTGCTCACAGACAGCATGCTCAGTGCCAGGAAATCCACTCTTAGTTTTGCTTCTCCTGTGTTTGTAAATTTTAGCCATCTGTTTGCTGTTTCTTCCCTCGATGACCAACAAACACTTCCCAGTTTACCAACAAACAGTCACTGTTTCCACTTTCCCTGCTCTGCCCGGGCTGCAAATGCCACTTGCCAATTTTTACAGCAATTCCGTGCTCCTTGCCCTCCTCCCACGCCCAGAACGGAGAATTAAGTAATTAATATCAACTTCCCCATCTTCCATTTCCAGTCTCCTCCTCGCACAGAACCTTTTCAGCCGTCTCCGCTTCAGAACCACGATGGTGCCACAGATGAGGACGGGGAGGATGACGCCCAAGCTCAGCAGCAGCCATTTCTTCTTGGATCTGCCTGTGGAGTCGTCTGGGGGGAGAAGCGAAGGTGCGGTTCCAGGTAAAGGCCGGGGATGCCATGGGCCATCTGCGGGGCCCTGGGAGCTGCCCTTGTGCCCGGTAAAACCCCAGAGCCCCCACAACCCCCCAGAGCCCCCCGAGCCCAGCTGCAGCGCTCACCGGGGCCCAGGGCGCTGTCGATGCTCCCCCCTATGGAGGACCCTCGAGTCTCGCAGTGCGGGGGGCTCCAGCCCGGGTCACAGTGACAGTTCTTCTGGTTATTGCAGACCTGCCAACACCACGGCGGGCAGAAAACACCCCTCATTGTAAAAACCCCTCCTGAGGACCAGAGCTCCACCTGCACCGGGATGGCTGATCCCCCCCAGCACCCTGAGCCCCGCTCCGCTTCCCCTGTGCCCCCACCAGGCTGCCTCTTCCACCCCCACGGCTACACTGACCTTTCCAACACCGCTTCAATTATCTGCAGTTAAATCCTCTCCAGAGACTCTTTTTCAGCTTTCTGCTAATCTAGACAAACAAACACTCCAAGCCCCTTTATCTCGCTTATTTTTCGCTTGGGACAGAAAGCGAGGCAGGTAATCTCACTTAATTTCTCCCACAATAACTTGTTACCACGTGATGATTTCAGAGACCAAGCGTTAGCCCAAAGCACAGGTGGGAGCAGTTCACAGACAAGCCCCTGTGGGCATTTCACCAGAACCCCTCTCCTCTCTTCACCAATATTCATCAAAATATTCACCAGCACCCGTCACACCATTAACACTGACTTAGTCCCAGGGCTGTCACTTACTCCGTGCCCGTGGCATTTTTCCTGCACGTTGCAGTCGTACTGCAGGACTGCGTGAGGCTGGCACGTGCCATTGATACAAACCTGAAACACCAAAAGGAAAAAAAATAATCCTGCTCGGTATTTTTTCACCGCCCATTACTACTTGCCATAACTAGCCCTAAGGATTGATCAGAGGTCAATAGCACAGGTAATAATTATTAAACACTAAGTATAGACCACCTGTAACTCATACTGCAAACTGGCAACTATTTCTAAAACTGTTGTGGTCCTGATAATTACACACCATTTCCAGAGGCTGGTGCAATATTCCTTACCTTTCCGGGGCCACATTTGGTGCCGTCTTTCACCAGGAGAGGATCCAGCTCTGTGGGGCCACGCATAAAATCGAAAGACACGCACAGATGCTCTTGCACTTGAGCATAAATGATGGCTCCCTTGGCTTTTGTGAAGGGAATATGATTTGGGAATGCACATACTAACTTCCCACATTCCAGATTCCTAAAAAAAAATCATTAGCACAATAAATTAGAACAGTACACATGGCATCTGATAGATCGGTGCTGGAGACATGGAGGTGCATGACTTGGGGAGGGGGATTTGGACAAAATAAAACCATAAACACATGATGTTTCAGAGGAGCTGAAGCCTCGATGCCAGGGAGAAGCTGTTCCACGAACTGGCACAACGTTACACGCTCACACAAGGAGGTGTGAGCTGATGTCACTTTGTGAGTCCCCAGCTTCTCCCCAACATTGCTTCTCCAGAGAATGCCGAGAGCAAACCCGGCAAGTCAGCTCTGCCCAGCAGAAGACAAACAGACCGAAGGCGACCTCTCATGGATCGGTGCTTTGCATCGACAGCAGAGAGAAGCACTAATTAAAAATATACTCCCAATTCAACTCTTTGCATTCCCTTGAAACCTACGGCCAGGAGCAGGGCTGGTAGCCATCCTTTGGGTGCTTGCCACAGTTTCCAAACCTATCCTGATGACTGTTCACTTCTTCATAACAGGCCAAAGGCGCATTTCTTGCACCTAGAAGTTCAGAAATAACCCTGGTGACCACTGAGGGTCACACGGACTGAGATACCTCTGTTGTCTCTAACACTTATCAGTTCTTGCCTCTGACAGAGGAACACTTGGCTACCACTCCACCCCATTGCTAGCCACCTCTGTTTGGGTCATGGGACAGATCTCACAGAGGGTGGAATGGCCTGACCAGGACCAAACACCTTCCACAACAGCATCAGGGGATGTTTCTGGCTTGTTCTGCTCTCTGGGGGGCAGGGAGCCCCCTGGACCTGCCTGAAATCCCCAGGGAAACCAACACCCTCCTCCGGTGGCCCATTGCCCCCTTCCGCAAGTGCGGGACTGGTGGCCCACTGCCCCCTCCGCAGGCGTGGGACATCCATCTGTGGTCTCCTCTGCCCTTCCCAGCACCCCATACTCCCCAGCCACCCCTGATTCACGCCGGGCATCCATCGTGCATGGATGTTCCTTCTGCCCCAGCGCAGCTGTAGCGTTGGTGGAGCCACCCGTTACCTCTGCCGTAGAGCGCCTGGCACTGCAGGTCGGGGGACTGGCAGTGTCCCCGGTAGCAGTAGCCGGTGCCGCGCTCGCAGCTGTGCCCGTCCTGCACGTAGAGGTCGGGGGGGCAGGAGGCGGAGGACCCGTTGCAGAACTCGGCCAGGTCACACTGCGCGTCGGCGGCGGGGCGGCACGGCGAGTTCTTCCTCTTGAACTGCCGGAGGAGGATAAAGGGTCCTGCTCGCCCTCCCTCCCTCCCTCCCGAGACACGTCCCCGGGCACTGGGCTCAGCACACGCCTGTGGTGCTGCCCAGGACAGGCCCCCCCAGGAACCTTCCCCCCGGGGGCTCCGGGCGCTGAGCTGGGAGCCCTTCCCCAGGAACCTCCACAGCAGAACCTGGCTCTCCATCCTCCAGCGTGGGGACATACTATTTCTCCAAAACTAAATAACTATCTTGTAATAATTATAAAAAATGTGCCTTCCCTGACATTACAACATTATCCAGAGGAGATAAAATGCAGCACAAATAGTATTAAGTTTCCTGGAGATGCTTATCGGAGGGAAACCAGGAAGCTGGTTGGCAGAGCTACTCTGGAAATCACTGCTGCTCTGAGGTTTGAAAATGGCCTTAACATCTGCTAATTCTGAGCACAACGTACCTGGCAGTTTTCACAGCACAGTCCCAGGGAGCACTGCATTCCTGGTTTGAACTTACACCGGGGAGTACAGCACGTGTCCAAGGCACAGGCCTGCAAACACACCACAAATCATTAATTGCTGCCAATCCCCCATCTGCAGGAGGACTCTTCCCTCCTCCCAAAGCACCTCAGAGGGAGAGCAGCCTCCCTGCGTGTCTGCCCGGTGCCACGGGGCGCGTGGGGCTCCCCCCGGGAGGGTTGGGGAGCACCCACCTCGGCCGCCCCGCAGTCGCACTGCTCGCCCGGCTCCACCACGCCGTTGCCGCAGACGGTGACGCGGTAGGACGCGTGACGCAGCGGGTGCCTGATGAAAGGGCAGTTCTTGTTCCGCTTCAGGAAGGTTTTAAACTCCCTGATGCTGCATTTGCTGAAGGCTTTCACCCCACCGACACGTCTGAAATACAACAGTTACCCCTGTGGGGGGGGACATCGACCCCTCTTTGTGCTCTCAAGAGCTCTGGGCCATTCAGGGACTTGCTCAGGTGCTGGCACGAGGTGCCAGGGTCCCCTGGACGTCCTTCAGGTCACTTGCCAAACCAGGTTCTACAATGTGTTATTAACAGAGATTGAGAAGCGTTCACAAATGTCTTGCTTTTGGAGAGAAAATCTCAAGTCAAATCACTACTTTATACTTTTTCTTTCCTCTAGTAACAACAACTCCATTTTTTTCTCACAATGTTTCAAGTTCCTTTTAGGACATCGCTCTGGACATGCTATTTTAAAGTATATTCAACATGTGATCCTTTTTCAAAACTTGATTCAAATCACGTATGACTAATAACACAGGCAGAAGTGCTGGAAGAACACACTTTCCAGTTTAAAGCAAATACAGCTATTCTCAAAAATGTTCACTAACACGAACATTGCATTTTTTGTGGCTGAGATAATAAAATGGAAGGCCAAAATATCTCAGGATTTCTAGTAATTGCAACATATTTTTATATTAACTCCTATTTTCTTGTGCTATTCTTTTCCCAATACTAATAAAATCAAAGCTGAACTGAAATTCAGGTTGACTGGTCTCTCAGTGTTGGTACCCACACACAGACACCTATTCCCTCATGCACACACATGTATTAAATCCGTCTCCTCAGCCTTCGGAGGGAAGGTTCCCCTGTGAGCAGACTCCAACCACGTACCCCTAACGCTCCAGAGACCAAAAGTGTTTGGGATCCCTGGGTACCATTCAGCGAGTTCGCAGGCAGCGCTCACCCAGCCAACCTCTACCGCAGTATCCAGACAGTAATTAATGTCTCCAGATGCTCAATTTCTAAATGTTAACACTCAAAAAAGGAGCAGATCTTGCCCAGACCAAGCAAAATGCACCCAAGACACCTCTTATGAGAGGACACTCTGTCCCCCCAGGATGGGACAGGACCGGCCAACTCACAGTGCCTCCAGGGTCATGATGCAGATGCTCCCGGGGCAGCGGCATTTTTTGGGGTTGTCGTAGTTTATGCCCAGGCTGCGTGCCAGGAGCTGGGCCAGGAGGACGGAGAAGGACTCCAGCGTCACAGACTTCTGATACTGGAGGGAGGAAAGAGCGGGGCTGTCGGGGCTGTGGAGACCCCAGCTCCAGCCATGGATGCTCCCCCCATCCCCATCCCTGCTGCCCGTGGGGGACACGAGGGCTGGTGGGGGACAGGGGACACCCTACCACGGCCACTGCGCCAGTAGCATCTCTCTGACACGCCTTCCCCAGCGCCGTCGCGCCCACGAACGCCGCTCGGTCCCTGTACCTGGAACAGAGGGGCACTCACCGGCCGCCCACCCCGGGACCCCCCAGAGCCGGCGGGTCCTGCCCAGCTCGGGCAGATCCCACCTCGGGTCTGCAGCACCCCACTGCCGTCTCAATTTTCACAAGAGGCATCACAGTCAGAGCAAATGCCTTTGTTCAAAAACACTGGCACTGCAGGTCGGGGGACTGGCAGTGTCCCCGGTAGCAGTAGCCGGTGCCGCGCTCGCAGCTGTGCCCGTCCTGCACGTAGAGGTCGGGGGGGCAGGAGGCGGAGGACCCGTTGCAGAACTCGGCCAGGTCACACTGCGCGTCGGCGGCGGGGCGGCACGGCGAGTTCTTCCTCTTGAACTGCCGGAGGAGGATAAAGGGTCCTGCTCGCCCTCCCTCCCTCCCTCCCTCCCGAGACACGTCCCCGGGCACTGGGCTCAGCACACGCCTGTGGTGCTGCCCAGGACAGGCCCCCCCAGGAACCTTCCCCCCGGGGGCTCCGGGCGCTGAGCTGGGAGCCCTTCCCCAGGAACCTCCACAGCAGAACCTGGCTCTCCATCCTCCAGCGTGGGGACATATTATTTCTCCAAAACTAAATAACTATCTTGTAATAATTATAAAAAATGTGCCTTCCATGACATTACAACATTATCCAGAGGAGATAAAATGCAGCACAAATAGTATTAAGTTTCCTGGAGATGCTTATCGGAGGGAAACCAGGAAGCTGGTTGGCAGAGCTACTCTGGAAATCACTGCTGCTCTGAGGTTTGAAAATGGCCTTAACATCTGCTAATTCTGAGCACAACGTACCTGGCAGTTTTCACAGCACAGTCCCAGGGAGCACTGCATTCCTGGTTTGAACTTACACCGGGGAGTACAGCACGTGTCCAAGGCACAGGCCTGCAAACACACCACAAATCATTAATTGCTGCCAATCCCCCATCTGCAGGAGGACTCTTCCCTCCTCCCAAAGCACCTCAGAGGGAGAGCAGCCTCCCTGCGTGTCTGCCCGGTGCCACGGGGCGCGTGGGGCTCCCCCCGGGAGGGTTGGGGAGCACCCACCTCGGCCGCCCCGCAGTCGCACTGCTCGCCCGGCTCCACCACGCCGTTGCCGCAGACGGTGACGCGGTAGGACGCGTGACGCAGCGGGTGCCTGATGAAAGGGCAGTTCTTGTTCCGCTTCAGGAAGGTTTTAAACTCCCTGATGCTGCATTTGCTGAAGGCTTTCACCCCACCGACACGTCTGAAATACAACAGTTACCCCTGTGGGGGGGGACATCGACCCCTCTTTGTGCTCTCAAGAGCTCTGGGCCATTCAGGGACTTGCTCAGGTGCTGGCACGAGGTGCCAGGGTCCCCTGGACGTCCTTCAGGTCACTTGCCAAACCAGGTTCTACAATGTGTTATTAACAGAGATTGAGAAGCGTTCACAAATGTCTTGCTTTTGGAGAGAAAATCTCAAGTCAAATCACTACTTTATACTTTTTCTTTCCTCTAGTAACAACAACTCCATTTTTTTCTCACAATGTTTCAAGTTCCTTTTAGGACATCGCTCTGGACATGCTATTTTAAAGTATATTCAACATGTGATCCTTTTTCAAAACTTGATTCAAATCACGTATGACTAATAACACAGGCAGAAGTGCTGGAAGAACACACTTTCCAGTTTAAAGCAAATACAGCTATTCTCAAAAATGTTCACTAACACGAACATTGCATTTTTTGTGGCTGAGATAATAAAATGGAAGGCCAAAATATCTCAGGATTTCTAGTAATTGCAACATATTTTTATATTAACTCCTATTTTCTTGTGCTATTCTTTTCCCAATACTAATAAAATCAAAGCTGAACTGAAATTCAGGTTGACTGGTCTCTCAGTGTTGGTACCCACACACAGACACCTATTCCCTCATGCACACACATGTATTAAATCCGTCTCCTCAGCCTTCGGAGGGAAGGTTCCCCTGTGAGCAGACTCCAACCACGTACCCCAAATGCTCCAGAGACCAAAAGTGTTTGGGATCCCTGGGTACCATTCAGCGAGTTCGCAGGCAGCGCTCACCCAGCCAACCTCTACCACAGTATCCAGACAGTAATTAATGTCTCCAGATGCTCAATTTCTAAATGTTAACACTCAAAAAAGGAGCAGATCTTGCCCAGACCAAGCAAAATGCACCCAAGACACCTCTTATGAGAGGACACTCTGTCCCCCCAGGATGGGACAGGACCGGCCAACTCACAGTGCCTCCAGGGTCATGATGCAGATGCTCCCGGGGCAGCGGCATTTTTTGGGGTTGTCGTAGTTTATGCCCAGGCTGCGTGCCAGGAGCTGGGCCAGGAGGACGGAGAAGGACTCCAGCGTCACAGACTTCTGATACTGGAGGGAGGAAAGAGCGGGGCTGTCGGGGCTGTGGAGACCCCAGCTCCAGCCATGGATGCTCCCCCCATCCCCATCCCTGCTGCCCGTGGGGGACACGAGGGCTGGTGGGGGACAGGGGACACCCTACCACGGCCACTGCGCCAGTAGCATCTCTCTGACACGCCTTCCCCAGCGCCGTCGCGCCCACGAACGCCGCTCGGTCCCTGTACCTGGAACAGAGGGGCACTCACCGGCCGCCCACCCCGGGACCCCCCAGAGCCGGCGGGTCCTGCCCAGCTCGGGCAGATCCCACCTCGGGTCTGCAGCACCCCACTGCCGTCTCAATTTTCACAAGAGGCATCACAGTCAGAGCAAATGCCTTTGTTCAAAAACACACGCATTCGGCAGGTTGTTACGCTCTGCTCTTACAGACGGACACCACGTGACTCTTACAGCAGCAGGTAGGGCACCTCGTGGGGCTGCAGGACGGGGCTGCTCTGCTTCCACTGCAGCAGCCGCACCAGCACGTCCCCGCCGTCCCCCGTCTTCTGAAACGTACTGTCGTCCATCCAGATCTCCATGGCAGACAGCATGATGGTCAGATTGAAAGACCTGAACATCTGAAAGGTTAACCAGAGCAGTGGCTGCTCCCAGACGTTTCACTTCCAGTGCTGATGAAACGTTGGTTGGGGTCAGCAGCTGCGCTGCCTCAGGAGAGCAGGAGCAGTTGGCCACTGACGACTGCCCTGTGCATGGGTCATGAAAAAGGTGCAGGAAATATTAAAACAGAAAGACACAGAAGCATGTCCAAAAGAGAAAATAAAAATTTAGTTCAGTAATCAGGATTTAATAAACCCAAAAGACAACCTAAGCTTGAACAGAGACATTAAATAATTAAACATACAGAACACACAGACTTGTCCTTGTCTGCACGTTTTGGGTGTCCAGGAGGAGACACTATACCCCCTGGCATTCCAAGTCAAATGCTCGCCCAGCTGTGGATGCTGCATCCCACACAGGCAGAGAAAAATCCAGTCCTTCTCCTCAGACAGAGGGAAAGAGCAGCAGCAGCTGCTGGCACCAGCCTCGGAGCCCCACGGCCCCTCGGTGGAGCTCGAGCTGTGGGACCGTGGGGACAGGCACGTGTTTGGGTGGGACAGCCCATCCAGAGCTCCCACCCTCCTCCGGACAAGTCCTGCACAGACTTAGAGACTGACAGACTGCACCCAAAAGTCATAAGCTAAAAAGCTGAGATTAGGTATTATTTCCACAAAATACATTTAATTATTATTTTCTTCAAATTTAGTCAAATCATACCAATAACCTATCCATTAGGTGGCTGAAACAAGCCACCAGAACTCCCATCCCAGAACATATAAATCGTATAAAAACTTACAGTGTTGAGCAAGCTGGAGATCTGAACTATCTTCTGTGTCACAACATAGTCGTCTGCACCCAGGTAGTTGAACTGAAAAATGAGACGAGATTCTATACAGGTTACTTGCCACCCTGAGACACACGGGGTTATCCCCACCCTTCTCAGAGTGGCTTCTGGCCACAGAGCCCAGCGGGACCACAGCAGGTGGAGTGAGGGGGAAGAACCCCCAGCAGAGGAACTGGCTGACACAGACTCACCAAAGCCCTTTCCAAAACTATGTAGAGTGCCATCTCCCTCCGGTATTTGGTCTCTGACTGGGAAAAAGATACTCTTCACTGTTAGTAATTCATGTCACTAATTCAGTTGTGAGGCGTAAGAAATGACACTAAACCTTCCACGGTCTTTGTCACCTGCTGGTTCTGTTTTCAGAGCAGACGTGTATGAACCTGGGACAACACTGATGCCCTGGCTCTGGGCTGAGACGGACACGGGGCCTGGGGACATTCACGGGGACCCCGTGGCCGAAGCAGCCAGCACTTCGCTGCCACCCATCTGCCCACCCGGGGGGAGAAACACCCCCACTTTTACAAATCCAGCCATAAATCCTGTAGCCCTTGGTGACAGCTCATTAGGCAGTGGACGAGTAACGATCCACGCGACACCCCATCACTGGCATCCTAAACACCCCCCCTCTTCAACCAGCCACAGCTCCCTGTGGGATCAGACCCTCCCCGTGTGATGGGGACACCGGCACCACCAGGAGGACAGAGGCCACTCACTTGGTCACCTCCCTGGGCTTCGTTCGCCGTCTCCTCCACTGTCAGCCCGTCTGGCTCGCTCTCGTCGAGGCTGGTGGCCAGGAGGGATCCGGCCAGCTTCTTGTCACTCACCCGATACACAAAGTACTCCAAGGCAGAATGGCCCAGGGGCTCAATCCCGTAGCTGACGTTCTCAAACTGCAGGAAACCCCTGCCACAGTGACGGCGTGTCATTTGTCACCAGCCATGTGCCACCAGCTGCTGTGGAGCACGGCAGCCAGAGCATCCCTGGCCATAACAGGCATCGCCGGGGGGTGTCAGTTCCTACCGTAGCCCCGAGCAGGTGCTGAGGGTCACTGCCGAGCTGGGGAAGCCCTCGACGTACCCCCGGTAGTGGCAGCCGCCCTGTGTCACGACAGAGGACAAGGAGCCCCTTCCATGGCCGTGAAGGTAACCCCGGCGGGCAATGGCACAACAAGGATTTTTGTGGACAGTCCTCACTTGGTGCCAGTAATTAAAACCGAATCCTAATGTGAGGATGTGTCACCCTCACGATAAGGACCTGCCCTCCCCGATGCCGAGCCGCGGGGCTGGGCTCTCCCTGGGGAACAGTAGCCACAGACAGGGTTAGAAACTTTGAACTGGGCAAACCCAGAAACTCCAAAAACCTTCACAAACACAAATCTGACCACATATTTGCAAGGGAAACTTTTTGGTTTACCCCAGCACACCCTACCATGGTTAGGAAGCAAATGTGGGGAAAGAGGGGAAGCAGCGGTCCCCGGCAGTGACCCGTGACAGCCCCCCCAGACACGGCGGGGGGACCCTGGAAGACGCAGCAGCAGGAACACCAGGCAGGTCACCATTACCTCGATACGGGGCGAGTCAGAGCGCAAAGATCCATTCTTATTGTACGTGTAAATCTTGAAGTCATCAGATATGAAGAATCTAGAACAGAAAAACAAGAAAATCCGCTGAAAATGCTGTGAAATGGTCAGAGCCCCCAGCCCAGGGGACAAGACCACTGCCCCCGGACGGGCCAACTCACTGCTGCTGCAGGCGGACGGTGTACGGCCTCCCCTCGATCCTGAGGACGTAGGACACCCCGTCCTTGAACGTGGGGGAAAGCAGAGAAAGGGGGAGTTGGGAAAGGCCCGTTCCGAGGGCAGTGCAGGAGCTCGGCAGAGCACGGCCTCCTGTCACCCACACGGGGAGAACGGGGTTTCCCCAAACTGCCCCTCTGCCCGTCACCGCATCCCTGCGCCTGCACCTCCACCCGCACACACACACACCCCACATTGATTTCTGAGGTACCACCTTTTCAGTTGTTTTTGAGAGCAGGCTCTCGGGAGCTGTGAAGTGGAGCAACATGTGCGAACCTAGGGAAAGAATTTGTTAATTCTAATGGCAGGTTGGTATCCCCGTGGCCGTGCCCCTCAGCCACAGTCAGAACCGCACACGCCTGTCACAGACACCTTCCTACCCACGTGGAGAGACACGGTCTCCACCTGGAGAGGTTTTCTCCAACTCCACTTTCTACCCTGCTGTCCTTCACCCACACGTCATTTCAAAGCATCCAGACGCCCGCTTAGAAAAACCAAAATGATGTGCAGGCACTACTGCTGGGAGAGAGCCCAGGGGCAGGAACACGTACGACGGGAACAAACCCACCTCGCATCGGGAGCACAAACGGGGCTGGGGGAGGCCGGGCACCCCCCACAGCCACAGCCGGGCAGGAAAAGCCCATTCCAGGGGAATCACAGCTCCTGCGCCGTCCCCATCCCACCGTGCAGCTCCCACCACCCCGAGGGATAGACCCCAGCCCCGCAGAGACAAGGGGCGCTGGCAGGGACTGCTGCCCCCCGCCCCGACAGCACAGGACCAACTAAGAGAGCACAGAACCCTCCACGGGATCCCTCGGGCCGGGAGGACACAATCATCCCCACGGCCCCCCCGAGCAGCCGGGAGGAACGGGAACCCCCCCGTCCCACCGCCAGCCTGGGCACAGACGGGCTCCCCCCCCGGGACAC